GGTCTGGTTTATTGTGACTCCCCAAAAGTCTGTCCATTTCTTAACTGTATTTATAGCTTCCTGCATTCTTGTTTTAGTTGTTCCTATATGTTCAGCTTGAGTCCATATGGCCAGGTCATCTGTGTGTAGCGCCTTGTGAATGTGAGTCGTGAACTGTTTTGGGAGGTCATTGATGAAAAGAATAAACAGGGTAGGAGATATAACACCTCCCTGTGGGACACCTTCTTGTAACCTGACCAGCTTACTCTTGTGATCTTCCAGTCTGACTCTTGCACAGCGTCTGTAAAGGAAGTCTCTATTTAAGGCAAACATATGCCCTTTTATCCCACAGTGTGCTAGTTTTAGCAAGAGTCCTTTCTTCCTGACCTTATCAAAGGCTTTGGTCAGGTCGAAGAAAGTAGCCAGCAGTTTGTATTTTTTCTGGAAAGCATCTTCAATTTTCTGTGTGAGATAAGAGGTTTGGTCATCAGTGCTTCTGTATCTCCTGAAGCCTGATTGGCTGTCATCCAGTATCTTGTTTTCTTCTAGGAAATTTAGTAACCTGTTGTTCACTAATCTTTCCATGGTCTTTCCAAGGCAGCCTATGGGGCGGTAACTGGATTTGTTTTCCTTGGGCTTTCCTTTCTTGGCTATGGGAACTATTTCTGCCTCCTTCCATTCCTTAGGAAGTATTCCCTGGGCCCAGGATTGGTTTATAAGGTCTAAGAGTCGTTGCCTACCAGCTGGTCCCAAGTGTACTATCATTTCGTTTGTTATTCGATCAGGTCCAGGTGCCTTCCTTTTCTTAAGGTTTCTTAATGCGCATTCAAGTTCTTGGTGACTGAAGAGTTTATTCATTATATCTTGGTTATCTTCCTGCTTTTTATTTATTTTCCTTAGTTCTCTCGTCACTTCTTCTTCTCTCGCTCTAGACATGAAGATTTTGCTTTTCTCTGCAAAACTATCAGCCAGCAGGTTTGCTGCTTGTTTACCAATGAAAGTTTTCCCACCATCTTCGATGACAGTGTGGGCATGGCTGGTATTATTCTCCTCATTGAGACTCTTTACTAGATGCCATAGCTTTTTGCCATCTTTCTCCATGTTGAGAGCTGCAGTCTTTTCCTGCCATCTTGTCCGGATACATGTGAGTTTTTCTCTTCTATAAATAGCCTGATGTTTATTGTGTTCTGTTACGTTGAGGTCAGAGGGATCTTGTTCCATTTTTTTCTCTTGCTTCAGTGCTGCTTTGATGCAGTTGTTGCAGTTCTTGGGTCCAGAAGGGTTCATAGTTTTGCCTTCGATTGATTTTTGTGCTGCTTCGAGTATAATATTGGTAAGAGTTGTGGTGTTTTTTCTAACCTCATTAGTGGGAAAGGGCTCTGATAGTTTCTTTTCAGTTGAGTTTCTCCAACTGAATGTATTGATGGGAGAGGTGCGGCTGATGCTCCCTATGTTGTGTATTTATTAAAATGTTGAAATGCTACATTGTTTTACTCTACTGAAAGTTTTTTTTTTTCAAATGAGCGAATGCTGTCGAACGCATTCTAAATAGAGTAGGGAGTCTGAAACGAAGGAGTAAAGTGTAAGTTTTTAGAATCTATCAACAAATATGCTTGAAAACAAATCAGCTGTATGCACCTAGTAATTATATTGAACACAGAAACTTATGTGCAAGTTACTTTTCTACTGAAAATTCAACGCAAGAGATTTGATGGGAATATTGTTGACATTTTTTAATTCTCTTTCATGCCCATCTCGGTAGTACAGTTGGTTGAAACCCTCTGCGCGGGGACCAAGTGACAAACTCCTTGTGGTCGAGGTTCATGCCCAGGGGTAGGCGGAAAAGCCACATTTCTCCCAGATTTATATTATCTATCATGAAATCAAGGCTGAAGGGTTATGATATCCATAGTACCGAGCCAAAGGGTTTACAACTTATGGTTTCTGGATATTTAACTCTTTGAGTCCCAAGGAACGCATCATACGTTCATAGGCTCCTTACCTAGAAGCCCAGTGAATGCAAGATGCACTGATTTGATGACTCTCTTTACTACCCCCTGGGCCTGTAATGCTAAACATCCTGGGACTCAAAGAGTTAAAAAAAAATTATTTATTTATAATGATGAAATTAATCTACTGTTCAATGCCTATTTCACATTAAGACAGCTTGCCAAAATAGACACAGATGGACCTTTAAATTTGCAATTGCGAACAAGCAGCCCGTCATTTATTTTTTAATGCATTTATAGTGCGTTTAATATTGCGCTTGCCTTCTGTGTTACTGGTCAGAAATGGTGGGATTTTCCTACCAGTGTGACTCTTGTGTTGACCTAGTCTCATTAACAAAACAAACAAAAAATTTCATAATTTTTTGAAATTTCAAAGAAAAGGAATTGAGGAAGGGAGTTGGGCACAACCTCTCAGATGTTGTAGCCTAGATTTTGTTAAGGCATAACACTTACATTGTGATGGAGCTATCTGTTACTGGACTGTTTTTGTCTCTTTATGTTGCTCATTCATAAAAAAAATTAAAGATTAGGTTCATGAGAGATCTCTAAAAATCAAAAATGGATGAAAAGTTAGAGGTAAGGGCAGAATGTGACATGACTGTATTGGCCTACCCTCTTTTGAATATTTTTCTCACTCCCTTTGATTAATGCCATCTGAGATCACGAGGATGGTCTGTTCATCCATTCTCGATATGGTGACAACCTCTTCAATGCTCAAAGGCTGGAAGCCAAGACCAGGATAATTAAGGTGCTTTTCAGAGCTACTATTTGCAGATGATGCTGCAATTCAACCCACTCAAATGATTACTGTCTGCATTTGCTAAGGCCTGTTGTGAATTTGGACGGATAGCAATAAATAAGACGAGGTTTATGGTGCAAGATGCAAATAATAGACCTGCAGTCTACATTATTGCTCAAAAGCTTAAGACCATTTTACATAGCTGAGATCCTTAATGAATAGCAAAATTATTGTTATACTGAGAAAGCAGCATGATGATAGGCAAAATAACAAAAACAGTGAGCAGATTAAGAAAAAATAGTTAGTGAGAATAGAAAGCTTGTAGTTAAAACAAAAACCCTACCTATCAAGCTTGTGATCTCAGCACTCTTCTTTACAGTTGAGTTGAGTCAAGAATTTACATCATAGCGTTCGGGGCAATGCCATTTGGCTCCGTTCTCATCTTCAGCAGCCAGCACAGAGTTCCAATACTGATGGTACCGGTCACAATCTGGTTATATGTCCGTCTTCCCTTTCCTCTGAGTGTAGTGAGCTGCCCAGACCCTCTGGTTACACCCAGGTGCCTCAATCTCTCCAGACTGTTTACAGCAGTGGTCAACTACCAGGGCAAATGGCTAAATAACTTTCACATGTGATGCCTAAGAAGAATACTTGGCATTAAGTGACAAGATCACAAAGACTAATAATTTGGAAAGAGCACAGGTATCGCATCGGTTTTGTCAGTGCTTACTCTTCAAAGGCTTCGATGGCTAAGACTCACTTGGAGGATGGAGGACTGTAGAGTCCCTGAGGACATCTTGTAAGGTAAATTACTCAGGATACTAAGAAAGATCATGCGGTCACTGTCTGCTAGGATATAAAGATGTGTTCAAGGAGAATGTGAATGATACAGGTATTGAGATGGATTTGTGGGAACAAAATACCATGGACTGTGTTGCATGAAGGAGGAAACTCAGGAAGAGAATTGGAATAAAAGAGAAATTGATTACATATAGGACTTATCACTTTTTCACAAACTCTAAGGGACTGAAAAATAAAGTGTTCACGTTAAAACAGTTTGTGCTAACTGGGCACTGATAGGTGTATTATGAATAATACATCCCAGCTGGGACCTATTTTTTTAGTTCATGTTTACCAAGTTTTCGTCTTCAGTGAGTTCATGTTAATCACCATGAGCTATGATTCTAATGCCTCCATATATAGCAGGGTATAACAACATCATCTGGAAAGATGGAATGTTGCTAACAGCTGTGAGCCTTTGTTGTTATTGTTGTTAACCTTTTGAAAATAGCTCTAAAACTTGGAGCACAGCTAACTGAGATGAAGCCTTATTACAGGTTTTGAAAACAGTCTTATTATGAATCTTTTCACCCATCAAAGATGCAAACAGCAGGGAATGGAGAGTGAGAACCAGCAATAAAATTCATAATCTGTTTAAATCACTATTGATCACTGGCATGATGAGGGCTGATAGACTGAAACGGCTAGGGCATATTGAGAGAATATCAGATGTCAGAGAGGTAACAGCTGTGTGCACAGGTGAGCTGAGTGATCATAAACTATGAGGCAGACCAAGAAGATCATGGAGAGATAATATCCAGACAGATCCACAAACACTTGGTGTCACCAACTGGAAAGAGAAGACCAACCAGAGATATAAATGGAGGTGGCTGATATCTGCAGCAGTGAACCTCAAGGGCTCAGAATGCTGAAGAAGAAGAAAAACCTTTTTAAAATAAAATCTGTTAGTTCATTAAAAAAAAAAATCACCTTGCTCACTCCATAATATTATTGCTTTTCAATTTGTTTAAAATTTCAGGCTTTCAAGCTTCAGATGTTGCCAAGTGAAATGAAGCCTATTAACAGCTGATGATACATCATTATTAGGGGGCTTTCACCAGAATTCAGGAGTTGCTTAATCACGTAGACTTTCACTAACACCTGTAGTGCTTGCACCATCTTCAGTTCAACAGTTTCACATACCGCATTCAGTGCTAATGGAGCAAAGAAATATCAAGTTCATTAGCTAAACTAGGCACTTTTTTATAGTAATGTCCCATGAATTTTTAGATAGAGCAACACTATCATATTTTCAGGAGAGAATAATTAGGCAATATACTCTTTGAAATTCCTTTCTGAAAAATATTTTATAAATTGCTAGCAGACTCGTACACATTTTTGATCTCATTCATAATTGGATTTAGATAGATCACAGTTCATTCATTGGGTTTACTGAAGTGTTTTGAACAGACTTGGTAAAGAATGACTCACATATGTCACAAATACAGCATACAAGAAACGTGGACAAACTGCCTCATTCCAAGTCATCATCATGTGTGGCTGCCCAGGTGCAGACTGCATTTCAAGCAAAATATGATTTTATCTGTGCTGGTAGTCAGCAGTTCAAAAAGGTGATTTCTGAGAAATACATTGAGGAGAAGCGATATATGTCATCCTCTCCAACACCCAGAAAGCATGCCCGAGTTGAGTTGGATATTCGTAATGATGAATATGAAACGCAAGAAGGGAATGAGGATAGAGTGGGGCATGTTAAATTTACTGTTGGCGCGACAGATGAAACTCTACAGATCAAATCCGAGCCACCGGATGAGATGGAGATTGAACAGGTTGTACCCCTTTCTTTTCAGCAAGATTTATCCAGAATGCGAAGCAACTCACTGCATTGTACGACATCCACTTCAGGTAAAAGCAATATAGAACCAGTTAAATTCAATTCCAGATGTGCCTCTTACTTAGCTAATCCATGCCGTGGAAGGCCTAAACATTCGGTCACTTCAGTTTGTCCATCCACGTCTGCAGGCAATGTAGAGGTTAGCGATGCCTTGAATGACCAGCCAGATTCTTCGACAGGCACATGTGAGCAGCTGACACGAGGAGGTCGTCGCCGCCACAGTATATCCTGTGTAAAATCCCCAAGTGATCTGACATCGCCCCACCTTCGAGTCACAACATCTACCACCTCTGGCGGGGAAAGTGTTCTGTGTCAGGTTTGCGGAGATATTGCAGCAGGCTTTTACTGTGATGCCTACATCTGTGAGGCTTGTAAGGTAAGCTCACTTGTTTTTGTATTGTATAGTCCATATCATGTGGTATTGGTTATCATGTTTTCAATGCAAACACAAATATTGCCTGGATTCATCTGCGTTGGTTAATTGTTACATTTTCTGGATGATTGTTTTAACTCTTAAGCAGATGTTATGGCACTCAAGTCATTTGAGCCCTGAAAAAAGGCTGGCTAGTTACTTGAATTAACCCATCTGGGGTGATGCATGCAAGAATGTAACCAGGTCTTGAGATAATCCTTATCTTCACAGGATCGCTGGTTAGTCGCAGTGGCCCAGAATATAACTTCTTTGTAGGTTGAACAGAGTTTCTGGGATTTGCCCTTTTGGCTTGCCATACGGATTGAGATTTTGCAATCTCCAGATAGTCAGATCTTTAGATGGTAGAAAGAAGGTAGAAAAACAACGAGGGGATTCAGAACAATGCCCAAAGATTGACTGCATTTAGACCTTAGATGGGGATATTTCTATCACATGCTTTGAGTTTCTCATTGCCAGCATACCCCATCATAGTGCCCAGTGACCTAAATTTGTCTCAGATCAGTAGATTGTCAGCTTCGTCACTAGCTTTGAGAGTCACTTCATTTTGGCTCTTGGAAGTGAACACATCTTTGACATGGACAGCTCTGCTGTTTACAGCAGATGGGAAAGAGACCTGGATGACCTAAGGAAAGACCTGGATGACCTATAGAAAGACCTTGATGACCTAAGGAAAGACCTGGATGACCTATAGAAAGACCTTGATGACCTAAGGAAAGACATGGATGACCTAAGGAAAGACATGGATGACCTAAGGAAAGACCTAAATAACCTAAGGAAACTCGGAAAACGGTGGAAAGGGAAATGAATAAGTGTAAACCGGTGAAATCTCACGAGCAGAAAAGCAACAGACCAGCAGCAGTGGAGATAACTTGTAGATGCCTTATGTGTCAGTGATGACATAAGAGGAAGATTCAAGTGAACCTTTGTGACACTGGAAATGATGCCACACACTTCAGGATGACCAGTTTAGGATATGGAACATTGTTGTAGATAGTGTAATGTCTCCCAAAGCTGTTTGGAAAGGAAAGCATGTCTCTCATGCCTTTTTCTGTTGTTACAACAATCATAATATTGTAAGTTTTTTGGGGGAAATGTCCCATGACAATGCAGACTCTTAGCTGTAACACTTCACTGCACTTCAGGTAGCTCAAAGCTTTCTGAAACACATTGTGTAGTGAACTGTGACCAGTACAAGCTGACATATGGGCCTCCTAATTTTCATTTTGCTATCAGTCTTGTTGCATGTCACTTTCACTTGTCTATCAGGTAGGCATTCATGTTGCTTTTTAAACACAGGTCTCATTCCACTCGACATGGTTTAATTTACAGAGGTTTTAAAATTTTATTTTGACCATGGATGTATTAACCTCTGGGGTATGCTGGACAATTGTTAACAAAACATTTGTCAGCCTGATCATTGAAAGACAGTTACATTGCTGTAATAATTAGTAGGGTTAGAAGAAAAGAGGCTGTATCTATGGTGAAATTCTTGTCTTCTGCAACCTGCTGTGAAGGTTTTTGGGCTCTGTTATGCGGTTCTTTGTTGTGGAGCACATTGGGGAGGATACCAGCCTTATTCTAGGACAGGGGTTCTCAACCTGTGGTTCGCAACCCTTTTTTTTTGAGTCGCATGACCCTTTGACAGGGGTTGCTTAAGAGCATTGGAAAACACATATTCATTGAAGTTATGAGGTAATAAAGAAAATAATTGTATTTCTGGCGGTCACCACAGCGTGAGGAACAGTATTGAAGGGTCATTGCATTAGGAAGTTTGAGAGCCACATTTCTAGGGTGAGGAAATGCAGCCTGAAAACTGAGTATTATGGCAAGGCAGACCAGGCCCTTTGCCCTGGTTAGCAGCTGGTTTAGAAAGGAAGCTCAGACAAGCAGATAGACGTTCTTCTGACAGTGCAGCTTCCATGGTCGCATGCTCTATTCAAAATGCATTGCTGGGCAGGCCGAGAGAGTTTGATCATGCTGTATGGGCAACACACGGTCTCTGCAACACTCCTCAGGCTTTGTGTCATGGCATTTTATATAGCGCACATAACCTAATCACAATTAAAACATAAAGTCTTAAGCCCCCCCCCCCCCCCACCACCCTTCCACCCCTCCCCCTTTCCTCTTCAGGGATGCTGGTTGAACGTGACGATTTCTTCTTCTTCTTCTTCTTCTTCTTCTTCTTCTTCTTCTTCTTCTTCTTCTTCTTCTTCTTCTTCTTCTTCAGCAAAGCACTTACCTGTTTCGTGGTTTGATATGCTGGCATTATTCCTTCCAGTGGTGTTTTTTTTTTTTTAACATTAGAAGGCCACAGGGCTCTGTAGTGCCACGCAACTCTCCGCGGATCAATACAGCTTGGTTTCCACAATAATGCCAATCGGGCCAGACCTGTGACCTCTCCAGTCACCTTCTTATAAGATTGATATCAGATCGTATGGAAGCTGCTGAAGGATGCCCATAACACTATAATCATGACAGCGTAATAAAGATGTCTTGGAAGCAGCTAACTCGCAAAGAGAACTAAGAACTTGTATCTGAAAAACACTCCATCCAGAGTCTTTAGGCAGATCGTAAGAAGGGGTCCTTCGAAGTCGGAATACATCAGCCTGGGAGACGGGGAAAAAACAATCTGCATAGAACAGATAAGTCAGATCTGTAAAACGGGTTTGCACGCAAAGTCAAGTTCTGGGACAAGACTAAAGTTCAGAACTTGACGAACAACCCGAACTTTCCACCAGAGTTTAATGCTTGTGAGCGATAAGACGAAGAAGAAGAAGAAGACAGTGTTGTCCTGTGAGCAGCGACTTGATACGTATCGATTGGCTTGGTTGAAATCATTACTGTAGTTTTTGTTGTGTTGTTGTGAAAACTGCACAATTATTGAGCAAATTAATGCCGCGGTGGGAATCGTCTTCGCAACAGAGCAGAGCCAGATGAAAAATGATGTTGGCTGTGTGCTCAATGTTAGCGTGTGTACACACATTTAAAAAACTAATTTTCGATGTAGATTTGTTTGCGTAATTGTACGGGTCTTTGTGGCGAATTGGTCAAGCCGCTTGCCTCTCGCGCTCTGAAAATTGTGGGTTAGTTTTATGCGGCGCCGTTTAGTTCACGAGTGCAGTTTTTGCAGAGATCCTCGAGGATCGTCGCCGTACATCCAACCACCGACATTTTTTTGGTGTGGGTTGGGGTTTTCAAGGGGAACGAGGACCCGTCCAATCTTTGACCAGCAAATTTGTGTTAGCTCTAAGTGCGTAGTAGTAGTAGTAGTAGTAGTAGTAGTAGTAGTAGTAGTAGTAGTAGTAACAACAGTAGTAGTGGTGGTAGTAGTAGTAGTAGTAATAGTAGTAGTAATAGTAGTAGTAGTGGTGGTAGAAGTAGTAGTAGTAGTGGTGGTAGAAGTAGTAGTAGTGGTGGTAGTAGTAGAAGTAGTAGTAGTAGTGGTTGTAGTAGTGGTGGTGGTAGTAGTAGAAGTAGTAGTGGTGGTGGTGGTATTAGTAGTAGTAGTAGTGATGGTGGTAGAAGAAGTAGTAGTAGTAGTCGTGGTGGTAGAAGTAGCAGTAGTAGTAGTGGTAGAAGTAGTAGTAGTAGTAGTGGTGGTGATAGTAGTGGTGGTAGTAGTAGTGGTGGTGGTAGTAGCAGTAGTGGTGGTAGTAGCAGTAGTAGTGGTAGAAGTAGTAGTAGTAGTATTGGTGGTGGTAGTAGTGGTGATAGTAGTAGAAGTAGTAGTGGTGGTAGTAGCAGAAGTAGTGGTGGTGGTAGTAGTGGTATTGGTAGTAGTAGTGGTACTGGTAGTAGTTGTAGTGGTGGTAGTAGTAGTAGTAATTTTGATATCTACAGCAGTGAGCCTCAAGGGCTTGGAGAGCTGAAGAAGAGGAAGTATAAACATACATTTTTTTTTTTTTAACGTATCCAGAAGCCATGAGTTGTAAACCCTTTGGCTCGGTACTATGGATATCGCAACCCTTCGGCATTGATTCCATTATAGGTACCGTTAATCTGGGAGAAATGTGGCTTTTCTGCCTACCCCCGGGAGTGAACCCGGACCACAAGGAGTTCGTTACCCGGCCGCCGCGAAAGTCAGGTTTAACCAGAGAACTCCTTACATAGCCAAGGGAGCCGTTTCACAGTACCGTACCATTTTTCAGAGAGAGGGACTCGAGAAACCTTAGCCCCAGGATTCTTGCAACCCCGGTGGGTGGGTTAATGACGGTTAGATAGCCAGGGACAGGAAATCTTGATGGGAGGAGGGGGGGGGGGAGAAGAGAGAGAGAGAGTTGACAGACACCACAATTCCCGGTAAACAGTCGATAATGACGAGATAGCAGCTGCATCAGCCGACCAGACAGAACGGCTCCTCCTTCCTCCAGCTGTAATAAATGATGTACTCTAATAGTTGAGGTTTGACACGCAGAAGTACAGCTCCGCCCCTGCATTGGACACATTGTTGTTGTTATTTCAAAGCCATAACCCTAACTATCGTTGGGGGGGGGGGGGGGGGGGTGTCCTAATATAACCTAACGGTTAAACAGGGATTTCTAGGTCATGTACTCATGCGAATAGTGGTGCCTTGTGACACCGGGTGTTTATCCCTCTTTCTGCAGATTTGTTGGGGTTGAACGTCACTTACTCACGTAGAAGCTGATTGAAGAAAACTGGAGGAGGCATATAAATAGAGGCGCCAAAATCAGTGGGGCTTGTTAGGGGTGTTTTCTTTGGCGAGGTCAAGTTATCTTCTTTGAGGGTTCTCTCAGTATTCTTTCTACTTCTTTCTATGAGTGCCGATCAATACATTTTCTGTTACTTTATTTGTATTCCCGAGGACATTTTCTAGTAGCTTTCTCAGGCTGGGTCAACTTGGAGCTATGACCAGAACCTTGTTCTTTTGTATTAACAGACTGGCCGAAAAAAAAAATGTATTCTATATGTTTTGGGGTGGGGAT